TGTGCATGATTATACTGTGCATGACTCTACACTGTGCATGACCCTACACTGCACATGATTGTACTCTGTGCATGACCCTACACTGTGCATGACCCTTACACTGTGTATGAGGGCACCTGACAGCTGGGTGGACAGCGCTTCGGATTCACAGTCCTGAGGGTCCGGGTTCGATCCCCGGTGGAGGCGGAGATAAATGGGCAAAATGTTTCATTCACCCTGATACCCCTGTTTCCTAGCAGTAAATAGGTACCCGGGAGCTAAACAGCTGCTTCCTGGGGATGTGTAACAAAAAGGGGGCCTGGTCGAGGTCCGGGCTGCAGGAACGCTAAGCCCCGAAATCATCTCAAGATATCTTTATGATGACCCTACACTGTGTATGGCTCTACTCTGCATGACCCTACACTATGCATGGCCCTATACTGTGCATGACCCATACACTGCACATGATCCTACACTATGCAAGGCCCTATACTCTGCTTGACTCTACACTGTGCATGACCCTACACTGTGCTTGGCCCTACACTGTGCATGATCCTACACTGTGCATGACCCTATACTGTCCATGACCCTACACTGTACATGACCCTACACTGTACATGACCCTACACTGTGCATGACCCTACACTGTGCATGACCCTACACTGTTCATGACCCTACACTGTGCATGACCGTACACTGTGCATGACCCTACACTGTGCATGACCCTACACTGTGCATGACCCTACACTGTGCATGACCTTACTGCTTGTGACCCTATTTTGCATACAATAAGAATTTATCATTTACACTGAAGAAAATTTTTCTTGCTGGCTTAATTGCAATTAAATATTTCTGTATGCTCTTCTTTCATGGTAAAAACTTTTAAACAATAATATCATGGATGAATTTTTTTATTTGTACATTGATTTTTACAATTAATATTTACATTACTATGTACAGTAACAAAACAGCACAAAATAAAAAAAAAACATTCCATTAATATACCTAATATGAACAACTTTAAGGTTAATGCATGTGTGAGTACACACTTGCATTCGTAAATGACTGTTTCATAATCTTTGGAACCTTGCCCCATCTGGAAACATGCAGGAGGGTGGTGGCCATACAGTATTTAGATTCTTCCTGAGATATTTAAAATGCCTTCATGTACTTATCAAAGAATTAGTGTGTGATTGCATGAGAAAGAAGACTGATGACAAAATTATTCCTCTTAGTAAGCATATATGAATAAAAAGAAATATGAACTAGACAAAGAAAAATGTCGCACTTGGTGAAAATGAATGTTTCTTTCTGAGTTGATCCCTCAGTTGCTCCTCTGAACAAGCAATATAAGGGCTCACATGGACTCAACTTTTCACTCACTAAGTCTTAAAAAAAATTTTCCTTGATAAATTACTTTGCAAATGAACTTGGTACAGGAAATAGGGGAGGAAAATACTGGAGAGTAACTTGATCCACCACCTAGTGATCATTTGCTACAAAACAATGTCCAAACATATTTCAAAAATTCCCTTCAGAAATAATTAAAATATCCAGAAAATTAAAATATTCCTCCAGCAAACAACATTTTAGTTATAAGCTGCTTCACCAATCAACACCGGCTACTACAACAGATTCAAGGAAGCTCTGTATTGAAAGAGGAAGTGTCAGAGGTAGAATTCATGAACGACAGAGCCCGAGTGCATGGAAAGATTGTGTGAAACCATGGTTCAGCTTCAGTGGAAGCCTCAGGATCCCTCATGGAATTAGTAGAATCCCAGGTTGCAATCCTTTTACCATGTCATGGTCCAGTTGTCTAAGGCATGTGCTTGGGAGAACCCAGAGCATAGGTTCGAATCCTCATCACGGCTCCTACAGATTTACAACTGACAAAGTTATTGCTATGATAGGGTGACAAGTGGTTTAGTCTGACTAGTGGACTTTGTCTGGACTTTGGTGGACCTGTCTGTCACTGGTTTGGGGATTGACCAAGGGGGCCTAGCTCAGAAAAAAGGGACAAAGAACCTATAAACTATTATTGAATGTTCGATGAAGAAAACTGAACAGCCAGTAGAGTGGAATTGCAAAGTGAATTTAGCTAAGGAGAAAAATTATCCATAGGAAAAGATGCCTAATTTATTGACACCTTGACTAGTGCTTGAATAGGCAAGTGGTGCCAGCTGGCTTACTGCCTGGTACAAATTGTTTAGAACAAAAACTTCACTTTCTGCACCAAGAAGAATATAATTATTATTCAGGAGTGGCCAGGATTCAAAATGCTTAAATTGGTAAAATGCTTGTATACTAAACTCACACCTTTTCCCATCTCTTAATGTGATGTCTAATGTATAGTTGTTCTAGCCACCATAATATGAGCACCATTATTCTTTTACCGGGTAAAACATTCATTGCTGCCACAAACAAGTGAACATCATTCTTACAACCATTTCAACCTGCATTGCCAATATATCAGGAATGTTCTTTAAGAAACACATATTATTTATGTATATATATAATATATATAAATATATATATACATATATATATATATATATATATATATATATATATATATATATATATATATATATATATATATATATATATATATATATATATATATATATATATATATTTATTTGTTGAATATAACCGAAAGGGTAAGATTAATGATTCTAACATGAATCTTTTCAACATTTCTTATATTTTTCTTCGCTGCCAAGCGAAGTTGAAAAATAAACTCTCCAAAGTTCATTTCACACTTTTTATTTTGGTCTGATGCCTGGGGATGCATTTTGCAAGGTCACTCCTTACAGTCTCAAAGACAAGTTTACCATGTTTAGCACTGGCTTATATTCTCTTTGGGTGAGGTGGTATAGAACAAGTGGATGAATGGCATAACATTGGGGATATTGACTGGGTATTAAATGTATCAATATGGGCAGCTTATGTTCTTGTGGCCGCTTGTGTTCCCAAGGCAGGGTCATTGGATCCTGTCTCTGTGCTGGCTCGGAGTATTAAAGTGGGTAGAATGTAATTATGTATTATGTGTTAACTGGCTGCTGATTGCTGGCCTTGACTTTTTGATGTGTAGTGCATCGCTGATGTCCAGTCTTCTGTTGTCGTTATACCTGTTGATTATTTCAGTGTTGCTTGTTAAGATGTCTTTGGTGATGGTCTGGTTGTGTGTGGAGATCATATGCCCCTTGATGGAACCCTGTTACTTGTGCATTGTTAATTGCCTAGAGAGAGATGTTGTGGTCTTGCCTATATACTGAGATCTTTGGGGCTGACAGTCCCCAAGTGGGCATGTGAAGGCATAGACGATGTTGGTTTCTTTTAAGGCGTTCTGCTTGGTGTCTGGAGAGTTCTTCATAAGTTGGCGGTCTTCTTGTTTTTGTAATATACTGTTAATTGTATCTTCTGATTGGTGTCTGAGGGATAATGTTCTATCAATATCTTTCAGGACGCTTTCCTCCATTTTATAAGTCGTGGAAAAGATGTTCCTGTAAAACAATCTGATAGGGGGTACTAGTGTTGTGCTGGTCGCATCTTCATAGGTTGCATGACGTGTCACCTTTCTTTTAATGACATATTCAACATAACCGTTAGAGAAGCCATTATTGACTAGGATCTGCCTTACTCTACAGAATTTCTCATCGCCCTGCTTCCAACCAGAGCTGTGAGTAAGAGCTTGATTGACGTAGGCGTTGATAACACTCTGCTTGCACCTGTCCGGGCAGTCACTATTAGCATCAAGGCACATTCCTATGTTCGTTTCCTTAGTGTAGACTGCAGTATGAAAGCATCCATTCCTTTCTGCGACTGTTACATCTAGAAAGGGCAGCTTCCCATTACTCTCCATTTCGTAAGTGAAACTTAACGCTGAATTTTGCTCGAATGCCTCCTTCAGCTAGTGCAAACGTCTGACATCAGGTACTGTACCTGCATAAATATGTCATCAACATACCTGCAGTATATGGCAGGTTTTAAGTCCATGTGAACTAGGTGCCCATGTAAAAATTACCAGGCACCATAGACCCACTGCTCTATGGTGCCCATGTAAAAATTCGCAACCAGGACACCTAGGGAAGAACCCATGCCGACCCCATCCACTTGTTTATACTGTACATGTGCCCATCGGGAGAGGCAAGAAGGGTGCCTCTTTCATGCAAGCTTAAAGTAAGTTCCTCAGTATGCTTTCTGGTATGTCCAGAGGGGTACAAGCCAGATCACGATACACTCCATCCATCATCATCCCAATTGTCTCATGCACGGGCACATTAGTAAACAGGGACTCCACATCCAGAGGCTCTCATCCCCCGTGGCTTGTGCTCCCTGCAATAAGTCAACAAATTCTTTGGAGAATTTAGGCTGAAAGAACAAGGCACATAAGGAGTCAGTATGCAGTTGAGTCACTTAGCCATTCTGTATGTAGGTGCGGGTATCTGGGTGATGATTGGCAGAAGTAGGTTTCCGGATTTGTGGGTCTTGATATTTCCACATGCATAACCTGGTTTGTATTACCCGGTAACCTTTGACAGGTGGAGTCCAGATTTCGTGGCATTCACAGTTTCAATCAATCTGTTTACCTTCGTTTTCAATTCAGCTGTAGTATCCCTTGTGACCCTTTGGAATTTAGTTTGGGCAGAGAGGACGAGGTTCATTTTTGCCAGATAGTCATCTTTTTTAAAAATGACATACATGTATATTGGCGACTTGTCACCTCTCCTGATGACTATCTCCTTATTCTCAGGAAGGCCCTTAGCTGCCACTTGGAGCTCGGGGGACAGTATGGTGCTTCTGTAGTTACCTCAAATCTTTCCTCCCTCTGCAATAAGTTCCGCTTGCAAGGTGTCTTTAGTGGTATCCTTCTTTTGCATCTCAAGGTCATATATGTCGTCTAATAGGATCTCCAACTCCACTTTCCAGGCCATCTCACTTGGTCTGGACATAACGTGACAGTTAATTCCCAGATTTAAGAGTGTGATTTGGTCCTCAGTGAGGTTGATTTCCAGCAAGGTTTAAGAAGCCATCTCTAGGTCTACCTTTTTGGTCATATTCAACAATATATGTTTACAAGAAAGACTGCTACCAAAATAAATAAATATATATATATTTATATATATAAATAAATAAATTACGTTTCCTTATCTTCTTTGGCTTGATCACTTTCTGAAATTTGAGAAAATCTATTTAGAATGTACAGTACAAAGTGTGTTAAAAACATGAGCCATGAGTCAATCAAGGCAAAATTTTTCTCTCAATTCAGTGTAATCTGAGTTGTAAGTGTAGTGCCAGTGTAATCTGGCAAGAAATCTGTTCCTAGAGCTAAAAATCAACAAACGCAAGTCTTCTTCCAAAAACCAGCGCTGAATGTAATGAAACACCATTTTCTGGGTGAGTCCCGGAGTCACCCCAAAGCTATCCAGGCTGAATGGATATGTATAACTTTCTGACATCAGTCAAAGTGCTAGGAGTTCTTGCCTACCGGGGACCACGAGCCAGAACTTGGCCCACTCAGAGAGGCACAAGGAGCAATGGCCTATAGAAACCCCTCGTGTGGTTGGGAGCATTCTATGTCTGCCATCGGCCGGGATAGGCACCCCAAAACAAACCCCTATTCTGGTTAAAATATGGCTACCGAAAGCCGAACGAGTGGACAGAACTCCCCAAACAAAATTATCTAACTAAATTATCTAAACAGAGGGAGAGAGGGATGCCGGGGAGCCTCCGGGACTCACCCAGAAAATGGCGTTTCATTACATTCAACGCTGGTTTTCTGGGGGAAGCCTCGTCGGCTCCCTGGAGCTACCTCACCACAGTTAAGTAAAAAAGGGAAGGACCCGGGAGGCGGACGCCACGCGCCCTAATCTAAAACAAAACCACAGACGAAAAAAACAAACCCTGCAGACATCCCGGGAGACCCGAACCCTAGAAGAGGAATAAGGGAAGGAAGGGAACCCGGGCAAACCAAAACGCGCCTATGACCCCAGAGGCCACGAAGTGCCGTGAACAGCGAAGAGCCGCAACCGAACAACAAGAAAGCCCCCCCCTGGCCTGACCAACCAAGCAACAACCCAAAGACCAAACCGAGGAGAAGAAAAAGAGACCACCCGGGCCAACAACCAGGACGGCACTGGAAACGCAAGAGCAGGCCAGATTGGAAACAACTCCCAAGACAGCATGCGGAACGGAGGAGAAGGAACAGCAACACCGACCGCAAGCTGGAGCGGCTCCACCAGCGCCACCCAAGACAGTATTGTACATGGTACCAGAAGACAGTCCCAGAACAACCCCAAAGGGAAAGACAAGACAACCCTATCAGAGACCGAAGAACCCTTCACAGTGATAGGAAAACCAGAAGGATCACCAGGATAAACCCCTCACAGGTGGGCGGTGAAGCGCAGTGAAGCACGGTGAAGCACGTAGGAGGGAGACCAACAATGCAGCCACCGATGCTCACGCAAGCGACGAGAAACCAGATAAAAACCGAGACGTGAAAACTCGAGGGGAGGAATGAACCAGCCCTGCACCGGATGGGACCGATCTGCAAAAAGGAGGCGGAGCTGCTGGAAGACCCACAGGACCAAAACCAAAGAAAAAAGCAGGGTTCACTAAGGAAAGCCAAAACCAAAGAAAGCAGCAGGGTTTACTAAGGAAGGCCAAAACCAAAAGGAATGGCCACCAGGGAACCAGGAAAACCAATCCCAGCGAACCAAAGGAACCAACCAGAGTGAGCAGAAACGCCCCGTCCTGGTGGGAACCTCCCCCCAACCCCCAGGACCCCTAAAGGACCAACAAGACCAAACACCGAAAAGCCAGGGCCCAGTTAGAGGCCAACGAAGACAGCGGGCACCACAAAGGAAAACGCGAGACGCAAAACGAAAAACAGCGACCCTGCCAATCCAAAGGAGCAGTGCAACCAGCTCCAGCAGGGAAGAACGACTCACACATCTTTGAAGGAGACCTGAGGGGAACCATGCAGGACGCGAATTGCAGGCAAACAAAAACGTACGGTCCGGAAAAGGAACAAGGAAAAGCCGGAACCAGGACTGGAATCCCAGCTACCAGACCCAAAAAGGGAAACCAGTATGGCAGGATCGGTGGACCGGAAGTCCACAACTCCCCCCAGACAGTGCAACACAGAAGCCTGCAGTGAGACAAAAAAAAGTGAGGGAACATAGTACCAAAACGGAACACTGGGGCAGTCCAAAAGCAGGGAACTGAACTTGGGACAGAGGCCCACCTCAGCACCCAACAACAGTATAGCCAAGAAGAACCGACCCAAAAGCACAGCCATGTGTAGCTGAGGAGGAGGAAAACGAGAACAAGCAAAGAAAAAAACGAAAACGGACCAAGTAGCCGCCGGGAAAGCAAAGGACTGGAACTTGCCCGAAACTCTATACCTGTACATATGAGTGACTGCAGGCAATGGAAATACTAGCACCAACAAGCAATCCAACAGCACATTCGTATATCAACTGTGTAAGAACTATACCTGAATAAAAAGGCAAATTTGAATTTTGAATGTGGAAAGTACACCACCAACCACAAAGTGTGAAGTGGGAGGATGCCCACACACAGCGGGACACCATGGATATCAGGGTGCAGCCAGGCACCGAAGACAGGCAAGGAAGAAGTGTCCAGAGCAGAGACCAAGCAAGGAAGGAGGACACAGAAGCACGGACCGAGGGAACAAAGGAGTGCCAAAATACAGGGAAAAGACCCAGGTGCAAGCACAACCAGGCAAGTACCCCACCAAAAGTCGAGACCCAGCACCTGGCCGACAGAGCCCCCAGACAGTACAACTTCACCTGCAGAGTGGAGGCACGACCGAGCCACAACACAGTCGAGCAGAGTAACATACCAGGAGCAACGCCAGAGGCCTGCCCGAAACGGTATATGCACCAAAGGCAGGAGGTACCTGGTTGATGGGGTTCTGGGAGATCTTCTACTCCCCAAGCCTGGCCCGAGGCCAGACTTGACTTGTGAGAGTTTGGTCCACCAGGCTGTTGCTTGGAGCGGCCCCTCAGGCCCACATACCCACCACAGCCCAGTTGGTCCAGCACTCCTTGAAGAAAACAATCTAGTTTCCTCTTGAAGATGTCCACGGTTGTTCCGGCAATATTTCTGATGCTCACTGGTAGGACGTTGAACAACCATGGACCTCTGATGTTCATACAGTGTTCTCTGATTGTGCCCATGGCACCTCTGCTCTTCACTGGTTCTATTCTGCATTTTCTTCCATGTCGTTCACTCCAGTGCATTGTTATTTTACTGTGCAGATTTGGGACCTGCCCCTCCAGTATTTTCCATGTGTATATTATTTGGCATCTCTCTCGTCTCCTTTCTAGTGAGTACATTTGGAGAGCTTTGAGACGATCCCAATAATTTAGGTGCTTTATCTCGTCTATGCATGCCGTATATGTTCTCTGTATTCCCTCTATTTCAGCAATCTCTCCTGCTCTGAAGGGCGAAGTGAGTACTGACCAGTACTCAAGACGGGACAACACAAGTGATTTGAAGAGTACAACCATTGTGATGGGATCTCTGAACTTGAAGGTTCTCGTAATCCATCCTTTCATTTTTCTGGCTGACGCAATACTTGCTTGGTTATGCTCCCTAAACATTAGGTCGTCGGACATCATTATTCCAAAATCCTTGACATGTTGTTTTCCTACTATGGGCAGATTCGATTGTGTTTTGTACCCTGTATTATGTTTCAGATCCTCATTTTTGCTGTATCTGAGTACCTGGAATTTATCACCGTTAAACATCATGTTATTTTCTGCTGCCCAATCGAAAACTTTCTTAATATCTATTTGTAGTTTATCAATGTCTTCAGCAGAGGTAATTTTCATGCTGATTTTTATATCATCTGCAAAGGATGACACGAAGCTGTGACTTGTATTTTTGTCTATATCTGATATGAGGATAAGGAACAGCAGTGGTGCAAGGACTGTACCTTGAGGTACAGAGCTTTTAACTGCGCTCGGACTCGATTTTACTTGATTGACTGTTACTCTTTGTGTTCTGTTCGACAGGAAATTGAATATCCATCGTCCTACTTTACCAGCTATACCCATTGACCACGTTTTGTGTGCAATAACTCCATGGTCACATTTGTCGAATACCTTTGCAAAATCTGTGTATATGACATCTGCATTATGTTTTTCTTCTAATGCCTCAGTGATTTTGTCATAGTGGTCAAGTAGCTGTGAGAGGCATGATCTTCCTGCTCTAAATCCATGTTGGCCTGGATTGTGGAGGTCATTGGTTTCCATGAATCTAGTGACCTGACTCCTGATCACTGTCTCAAATACTTTTATTATATGGGACGTTAGTGCAACTGGTCTATAATTCTTTGCCAATGCTTTGCTACCTCCCTTGTGTAAGAGGGGCAATGTCTGCTGCTTTAAGCACATCTGGTATCTCCCCTGTGTCCAAGCTCTTCCTCCACACTATACTGAGTACCTGTGCTACTGGCACTTTGCATTTCTTTATAAATATTGAATTCCATGAGTCTGGACCCGGGGCTGAGTGCATGGGCATATTGTAAATTTCTCTTTCAAAATCTGCTACGCTCGTGTTGATATCAGTTATATTTACAGGTGTTTGGATATCATTCATTCATAAAGAAATTGTCCGAATCTTCCACTTTCATGCTGTGTATCAGAGTGCTAAACATGTCCTCATACTGCTTTTTTAGGATTTCACTAATTTCTTTGTCATCCTCAGTATATGAACCTTCACTAATATGAATAGGCCCAATACTGGCAGTGGTTTTCGCTTTTGATTTAGCATATGTGAAGAAATATTTCAGGTTTTTCTTTATTTCTTGAATTGCTTTCTGTTTTAGTTGCCTTTCTTCAGTCTGATAGGAATGCTTCAGTCTCTGTTCGCTCGAGAGCGTTGCAGCAAAGTAAACCTAGCATGCAACACTGCAGCCGTCTGCACCCGCATATCATGGCCAGTGGCCTGGGTGAAAGGGAGCACGTACAGACGACACCCGTCGCACGACTCCAGGTCAAAAGAACCAACGACCCAACAGGCAGCATGGCGGAGGCAAAACAGGTGAGTGTCACCCTGAGACAAGGGGACAGATCAACCGTCAAACTCGCAAAACGCGAGGGGGAAGGGGGAGACTCAGGGGTTACATCCATAGGACCACGGAGCCCCCGTGGGGTTTTCCAGTGCCCTTAGCCATGGTTACACGCCAAGGGAAGCCCAGGCAGGGTATTGCGAACCGGCGCCCAATTCTACCAACAAACTACTAAAGCTGAACCCCCATGACGTGATCACTCACGGGGGCCAAGCCGGGAGGACCACCAACCGAAAATCCATATAACTCCTAGAACAGCAAAGGGAGACCATCAAGGCAGACCCCCCACTCGGCAAAAACAAAAACAAAAGAAAAACCCCGCAAGAGGACAACGTACCCAGGCGAAACAGAGCCGGCCGCTGTTATTGGTGAAAGCTAGCTGTGCAGTACCCCGTGCCCCTACCAGTGATGAAAACGACCACCTACCCAGAGACAAACAAGGGCAACAAAACCCCAGCCGACTCCAAGGGCGGCCCAGTACCGAGCAGTAAAGGACACAGCGGAGGTGGAACCCAAGGAAACTTGTGGAAGGTGGCCCCAAGCTCCAAGGGCAGTACTTACAGGGCCCCTAGAGAAGAGAGCCCAAGGCGCATGCAGCCCGAGTACTGTGGAATATTACTTCTGGCTCACATCCCACCGGTAGAGACAGCCCACACCACAAGGCATCGAACTGAAACAAAGCGGGAGCCAGAAGCACTCGACCAGCCAGTAATCACATCAGCCAAGAACTGAAGGTTGGGTCACCGGCGGATGGGTCTGGGGCTCCCTCTTCCCCCTTCCCGGTGGGGGGGGGGGGGGGGGGGGGGGGTAGGGGGAAGGTTGTGCAGACGGCGGCACGGCGACATGATGACGTCATGCTAGTTAGATAATTTTGTTTGGGGAGTTCTGTCCACTTGTTCGGCTTTCAGTAGCCATATTTTAATCAGAATAGGGGTTTGTTTTGGGGCGCCTACCTTTCTGGGTGCCTGTCCTGGTCGATGGCAGACATAGAATGCTCCCAACCACACTGGGGTTTTTATAGGCCATTGCTCCTCATGCCTCTGAGTGGCTAGGTTCTGGCTCGTGGTCCCCGGTACCTGGTTGATACCTGGTTGATGGGGTTCTGGGAGTTCTTCTACTCCCCAAGCCCGGCCCGAGGCCAGGCTCGACTTGTGAGAGTTTGGTCCACCAGGCTGTTGCTTGGAGCGGCCCGCAGGGCCACGTACCCACCACAGCCCGGCTGATCCGGAACTTCTCTTAGAAAACCGTCCAGTTTTCTCTTGAAGATGTCCACGGTTGTTCCGGCAATATTTCTTATGCTCGCTGGGAGGACGTTGAACAACCGCGGACCCCGGATGTTTATACAGTGCTCTCTGATTGTGCCTATGGCACCTCTGCTCTTCACTGGTTCAATCTTGCATTTTCTTCCATATCGTTCACTCCAGTACGTTGTTATTTTACTGTGTAGATTTGGGACCTGACCCTCCAGTATTTTCCATGTGTATATTATTTGGTATCTCTCTCGTCTCCTTTCTAGTGAGTACATTTGGAGAGCTTTGAGACGATCCCAATAACTTAGGTGTTTTATCTCGTTTATGCGTGCCGTATATGTTCTCTGTATTCCCTCTATTTCAGCAATCTTTCCTGCTCTGAAGGGGGAAGTGAGTACTGAGCAGTACTCGAGACGGGACAACACAAGTGACTTGAAGAGTACAACCATTGTGATGGGTTCCCTGGATTTGAAAGTTCTCGTAATCCATCCGATCATTTTTCTGGCTGACGCGATATTTGCTTGGTTATGCTCCCTAAACGTTAGATCGTCGGACATCATTATTCCCAAATCCTTGACATGCTGTTTTTCTACTATGGGAAGATTCGATTGTGTTTTGTACCCTGTATTATGTTTCAGATCCTCATTTTTGCCGTACCTGAGTACCTGAAATTTATCACTGTTAAACATCATGTTATTTTCTGCTGCCCAATCAAAAACTTTGTTGACATCTGCTTGTAGTTTTTCAATGTCTTCAGCAGAGGTAATTTTCATGCTGATTTTTGTGTCATCTGCAAAGGACGACACGAAGCTGTGGCGTGTATTTTTGTCTATATCAGATATGAGAATAAGGAACAGTAGCGGTGCAAGGACTGTACCTTGAGGTACAGAGCTTTTAACATCGCTTGGACTCGATTTTATCTGATTGACTGTTACTCTTTGTGTTCTGTTCGACAGGAAATTGAGTATCCAGGCAGGTAGGTTGGTTGGTAGGTTGAGAAATTGAGTATCCAGGTAGGCAAGAACTCCAAGCACTTTGACTGATGCCAGAAAGTTATACATATCCATTCAGCCTGGATAGCTCCGGGGAGCCGACAGGGCTCTCCCCAGAAATGGTGTTTCAACTTATCATGTTGTCAACACAGGCTTACTCCACATTATATTTGAAAGATCAGTACAGTACCATATAAGTAAATACATTGATATTAATATGCATTGTCTATGCAGGCTTTGCCTTGATATGTTGTTTACATTCAGTTACTATTAATACTCTTTTACTCAATGTGTGAATTATACAAGCTAATAAATTCTGTGCAATATATGCATAGGAAAAATATTAAAGAAAACTCACCAATAGATTCCTCTGCAATAGACCATGAAGCACCTCCGTGATGATCCTGAAAGAGAATGACGGTTATGAAAGTTTGTAATTTTGTACTTTCTTCCATATCGTTAGGAAGTCAATATTTTTAAAAATTTTATACCAGAAACTAACAATAAAAGACAAGACTTAACAGGAAGAGAGAATGCAAATGCTTTATTCAACTTCATTTCATTAATAAATACTAACACACAAACCCACATATTTATTATTAAATAACCATGGGAATCCTATACTGTTCTTGTATCCTATGTATGAATATATGTACTTTTGTCTAAATATATTGTTATGATTATTAAAAACCTCAAGCCATCCTTAACTTAGGCTACTGAACAGAACACAAAGATAACGGTCTAAGATGGACCAAGATATCAATCTTCTTTCTTTTCATATGTGAGCTGGCTTACTAATTTTCAGCCCCATTATTGTGACTTATTCCCTGTAACAATAACTGACTTTTGACTTTAATGTTACTCCCAACTTAAGAATTATGAAGACCTGATACACTTTTATTCTAAATCAAATTTTGTAATCCATCATAATTTATATACAGTAATAATTTATAAGACATAATTACAGAAATTTTATAAGACATAATTTTATATGTCTGATTCTTTTTCCTTCCAGGAACTCCTCCTGCATGAAGAGTCATGAACCCACTATCATTATCATTCCATATCACAATAAGGGACCTAAGAATATTTTGGTATAGCTAGATACAGTACTTTACATTTCGATTGAATGCAGGCAACCATGACAAGTGGCGCTGGGTTGGAATATCTCAAGATACGAATAGTGGTGAAATGAGTAATCCTGAGGATATAACTATTATGGGGGTAATCCTATTATGATTATAAGCATTAATATAGTAATGACATTAGGGAGCATAATATCAGGTCATTTAATGAACACAGGTTTGTATGGTGGTGGTGGTGATGAGATCGTGTTGATTGCCTATGAGTGACTATAAGGGAGTGAGGTCTTGCTCTTGAGACAACCAACCAGCAGATCAAAAAATAAAAGAACTGATGATGTTTTGGTACGTTCTGGATCATTATCAAGGCATTAATTCCTTTACTGTATTTTCAAATTTGTGTGTCGATTGTCTAATTTTCAGCCACATTATTGTGATAAATTGTTACTATTTCTTTATTAACCACCATGCTGCACCGAGTTTATTGTGAAATTTACCCTGTGCGCATGAAATAAAGTGTTCCCAAAAAATTATTTTTTCTTCGTAAAATTATAAATTTCCTTCCCTGAACATGTCTATGTAAAAATAAATACCAAATTCCACTTACTTTGGCTGTGGAGACGTGGACAAGATGAGCTGTGTCGTAATCAGGGCCTGGTCACCTGTGCATGAATCACCCAGACACGGTCACGCGGGCCATTCAAGCACCGGGTGTTGCCACAAATATATTTTCAATTATTTGTTCTATGTATTTCCAATAGGTTTTATTTGATTTTTTTATTGTATATGATGCATATTTGTGTCCTTTACAATATGTATACAGTAGAATGTTCATAATGTTCCATGGAACTGTGATACATGTTTCAGTAATGTGTCCACAATAAATGTTTATTGTCGCAATATTACTTGTTAAAAATTCACTAAAATTATAATATGTACAATTTCACACACTGTTTACACAGTAACACACTGTATTACACACTCAGTACTTCGGAAGTGAGATATAATCAACGAAGTAGTCCATGGTACACAGCGCGACTTCACTCGTTGCACCAGGTACAGATAAATTTTCGCTTCCTGTTTCCTCATTCTGTGTGCTTGCAAATAACGCAATCATGTACACCCTTGATTTTAGTACCTGTAGGTTGTATGTAGCCAAGCTTGTAAACCATAAGGTAGTATTGAAAAGATAATAGGAAAAAATCAATTTGTAAGGTAGTCTTGAAAAGATCGCTTTGTATGGTCCCACACAGGAAGAGATTCAGCTTGCCTCAAAGAGTGGCCATCAGTCAGGAAGAAATTCAGGTATTCTTAAAAATATCTATGGAAAACACCACAATGGAAGCCGCTAACACTGTTCATCTATGCTACTTGTATCAGATGCATCATCACTGAACGCAGAAAACGATTCATCTACGTATCATCTAAATAAATTGTAGATAGCATAGTATTGCAAGGGTAACGCTCAGAGCTACAACTGGATACGCTCGCTGTATCGTCCTCATAGGGACTGTATCATTTGCATCCGACCTTTGTCGGATGGGGCATAACTGGCCGACCCCTTACAGTGTTCAAGTGAGAACTGGATAAGCACCTCCAAAGGATACCTGATCAACCAGGCTGTGACTCATACGTCAGGCTGTGAGCAGCCGCGTCCAACAGCCTGGTTGATCAGTCCGGCAACCAGGAGGCCTGGTCGACGACCGGGCCGCGGGGACGCTAAGCCCCGGAAGCACCTCAAGGTAACCTCAAGGTTGTGTTAGGTCTTTATTGCGCCTAGCTTCACCAATATTATGACCCTTATGATCTTCAAACAATAAGGTTTGAATTTCACCGACAGAGCGTTATCTTTCAACACCGCGTCGGAGAGGTGTTTGGGAGCCAGAGGCGCGTGCGTCACCCATGGTTGCTCACTCGGTACTAAGCCGTCCAGCAGCCCAAGGGCATTCTGGGATTTTTTTCCTAGATGGCTGCCTCTCACTGGAGGTCCTAAGAGTCCATTTCGTACACAATCAACCTTGTACACATTTAGAATGGGCGCGGAAAAGTCAAAACGAGTTTTCTCGGTTGGCGCAGTTTCTTGCCGACCGAGAATACTCGGTTGGCGCAGTTAAGTGGTTAAACTCCTCCTAAACTTTTCAACCTGATACGTTTTTTTAATATCTTAATATTCGCGTTTAGTGTCACATCTGTACTTTAGGTACAGGATGAAGGTGGCATCAAAACCTACTACGTTCTTGTGATGTATGAAAAATTAATTAACGTTACTGCAAATATTCCTAGGGTATTATTTGAAACCAAGAGCCCTTGCATTAGGGCATGTGTCTAGAAATAATGTTGCAAGTACACTTACTTGTGTTTAGATATCACTTAGTCTCCCCAAATTCCACCTCTAGAAAATTTTTAAATTGGTTCAAAAATCAATAAAATACCAGCATTGAATGTAATGAAACACCATTTTCTAAGCGAGTCAGGGAGGCTCCCAGGAGCTATCCAGGCTGGATGGATATGTATATCTGTCTGGCATCAGTCAATGCATGGCGTTCTGCCTACCGGGGACCATGAGCCAGAACCTGGCCCCCTCTAGAGATGAACGAGGAGCAATGGCCTATAGAGACCCTCCTGTGGTTGGGAGCATTCTTTGTCTGCCATCGACCGGGACAGGCACCCCAGAAAGGTAGGCACCCCAAAACAAACCCCTATTCTGGTAAAATTATTGCGACCAAAAGCCGAACAGGTGGACAGAACTCCCCAAACGAAAATTAGCAAACAAGCATGATGTCATCATGTTGCCGAGCCGCTGACTGCACAACCCCCCTTCCCCGGGAGGGGGTAGGGGGGAGCCCCAGACCCATCCGTCGGCAACCCAACCCACAGTTCTTAGGCTGGATGTCAAAAAGTACGAAAAACATCGCCGACCGGAGGGAGGGATGCCGGGGAGCCTCCGGGACTCAACCAGAAAATGGCGTTTTATTACATTCAACACAGGTTTTCTGGGGGGAGCCCCGTTGGCTCCCCAGAGCTAACTACTCAAAGATAAGGAAAAACAGGGACTTACCCGGGAAGCGGTTCATCCTCACTCCTTAACGCGAAGTCGAGACAACTGGCTGCAACCACCAACCCAAGGACACACAGGCCTTACCTGGCCCCAGAACATTTACCAGGTAGCGAGCAGCCAGGACCCTGTTCGACCTCCAAAAACCCCGCGCCCGAATGTCAACCCAAGACATGTTGCCAAAAACGGCAGCCAAAGCCGCAAACTTTCAAACGTCGTGGGCACAGGGATAAACCTCAGGCTGGCTAGACTTAATAACACTGCGGACAATCTGAGAGACACGAGCCCGGGAACAGGGAAGAAGGGAAACCAGGTCAATCCAAAGCGCATCCCCGGCCGCCAAAGCCGTGGCATGCAAATAACGGCGGAGAGCCGCAACCAGACACAACTCATGATGCACCCCCGGCCTGACCAACCAAGCATCAACAACCCAAGGCCCCCTCCGAAATGCAGCCGTTTCATTCTTTGCCAGAAAAGAAGGAGATGGCTGCAATCGAACAAAACGACCACAGGACAGAAGGAGCAGAAACCCCTGTGTTGGAGGAGAGCATGAAGCTCCCCTACCCGACCCCGAGAAGCCAAAGTCAACAGGAAAAGAGCTTTAGAAAAACAATCCCGAACGGAAGGGGCCACAACAAACCGAGGAGAAGAGAGAAATGAGAGCACCCGGTCCAAGGACCAGGACAGCTCAGGAGGCACATGAGCAGGTCGGAGGTGAAACAACGCCCGAGGCAGCTTGTGGAACGGGGCAGAAGTAACATCAACACCGAAAGCAAGCTGAAATGGCTCCACCAGCGCTGCACGATATGAGGTGACAGTATTGGGCATAAGGTGACGGTCCTGGAACAACCAAGAGAGAAAAGACAGAACATCCATATCAGAAACCTACACAGTGATAGGAAGAACTGGAAGGACCGCCAGGAAACTTCATACTGCTGCCGAGACGAAGCACGCAGGTGGGAGACCATCAACGACGCCACCTGCGCACCAAACAAGTGATGATAAACCCGAGTCAGAAACTCCAGGCGCGAAGACTCAAGGAGAAGACCGAACCAGCCTCGTACTGGGATGGACTGACCCGCTGAAAGAGGCGGAGCCGCGGGAAGACCCTCGGGTTCAGACACCGAGCAAGCAGCGCCTGAAACCAAGGCTGGGTCGGCCACCAAGGAGCCAGAAGCACAACTCTTCCCTGATAAGTCTCCAAGCGAGCCAGGACCTGGAGCAACAGCTGAACCAGGAAAAAGAGGTAAAGTTAACTCCACCTCGCCCAGTCCTGCCTGAAGGCGTCGACCCCGATGGCCTCGCAGTCGAGGAAGGGCACCATGTATACCGGGAGATGCCTCGACCACGTCGACGCGAAGAGATCCACGTCCGGAGTCCCGAACGTCTGGCACAGACAACTGAAGGAGTTGGTGTCGACCGTTCATTCCGTGGAAAGGGGAAGGAAACGAGACAGGCTGCCCGCCAAGACGTTGGACAACCCCCGGACATGAACCGCCGGGAGAGCCAAACGCCGAAAACTCAGCAGGCGAGTCACCCGAAGCGACCAGCCCCAAAGGGCCAAGAACCACATTGAACCCCCTCTATTCAGGCAATGAAGCACTGGGGAGCAGTCCGAATGGAGTCGGATCGTTGCTCCGTGAGCAACTTGAACCCTCCGGAGCGACATCCACACTGCCGTGTACTCTCGAACCGTGCTGTGAGACCGATGGAAGGATGGACCCCTCCGCCCCTGGTTGGCCTGGTGAGCACTGGTCACAAAACCTCAGCCAAGAGACGACGCGTCCGTGTACACATCGAGCGAGGGCTCGGGTAGGCGCCAAGGCACTGTACCCCAAAAAACCCGAAGAGGAAGCCAGCGACCGCAAGAGAACCGAACCCAACGATCGCGAGAGAGGCGGAAGTGCCGTCCCCGAAGGAACCAGAACAGCCGACGAAGCCACACCCAACCCGGCGGGTAGACCATCATGGAAAAGTTCAGGTTCCCGCACAAACTCTCGAGCAGCCGCTTCGTGACCCAGGAACCCCTCAGAAATGGGCAAAGGCAGGACCGCAGGCGCAAGAGGGCCGCCGGAGGAAGAGACAAGGAAGCACTGCGAGTGTCCCAAACCAGACCCAGCCAAGATCGAACCTGAGAGGGAACCAGATGGACTTCCTCCAGTTCACCAAGAACCCAAACCCGGCGGGCTGGGAAAGAACTAAATCCCTGGCGAGCAGACACGCGGACCGGCTGGGAGCCCAAACCAGCCAGTCGTCAAGATAGGCCAGCACCCGAACACCTAGCAGATGCAGGAGGGTCACCACGACCCGAGTAAGGCGTGTGAAAACGCGAGGTGCCAGATTCAACCCGAAGGGAAGACAACGAAAGCGGTAACCTTGATGCCCCCACATCAAAACCGAGCCAGTCCCTGAACCCCGGATGACCCAGGACGTGCCAATACGCGTCCTTGAGGTCCAGGGACACCATCCAAGCGCCCTCCCCCCTCCAAAAGAAGACGGACCTGGGACAACATAGTCATCTGGAAGTAGGGGCACAAAACCCACGGGTTCAAACGGGACAAGTCCAGAATGAACCGGAGGTCCACGCAGTCCCCCTTTCGGGACTGGAAACCGGCGGGAAACCCACCTGAGGGATGACGTCGTTTCGACCACGCCCAAGCGAGCCCACTCCGAGATAACCCGACAGAGCACAGGAGAAGAGGCCTGCCCCCCCAGCCCCGAACCCCCAGAGGGAGGAGAAGCCACCCAACGCCACCACAGGCAGCACGAAATGACCCGAAAAGCCCACGAATCATGGGACCAGGCGTGAGCAAACTGGGCGAGCGGCCCCCCATCACCCCGTCAATGGGACGAACCGTGAAAGGGCCGACGCGCCTTGCGAGAACCTAAGCGGCAAACAGGACGGTCCCCGCGCCAACCAGCAACAGCCGGAACCGAAGGCGCCACCAGCTCCGAATCCGGCACTAAAGACCTACCCCGACGAAAAGAACCCCAAGAACTGGCACGACCCTTCTGGGAAGGCCCCCCCACGAGCCCCCCGGATCAACAACAACGCAGACATAGGCCGACAAATGACCGAGTCCGCCTGCAGGTACTACACCACAGCAGACTCCGCAAACAGCAACAGACAAAAGAGCGAAGACAAACGAAGAGCCAGGGCCCAGGCGGACTCCAAGGCAGAAGCCAGCACCGCCTGACAACAGCGAGGCGAGAAGCATAAAACCGCAAAACCGCATCATGCAGGATGGGTGCGAAGAGCTTCAACAAAGCAGATGACGCCCGCACCGCAGAGGGCTGTGCATCGGACCTGGAAGCGTCCCCAAGCGCTCCTACTTCCAACTCGAGCCAATCCGAGGACAGCTCAAGGAGGGAAAAGAAACGCAGTGCCGAAGCAAGCAGGCCACAAGTCCACAAATCCTCCGCAACCAAGGCAGTTGAGAGGGAAGGAACTTGCACGTGAAGCTGCATGACACCAACATCCCGCGGAAGGGCAGGGGCGAACAAACAAGCATTAAGATGCTTGAAGTCACCTCCCAGGAAAATCTGAAACGCCGACTGAGTCTCTCACCACTCAAGCCCGTGGGACCAACAGAACGTGTGCCAAGCTTCCAACGAGAAAAAAGGACAGTCTGCCAACCAGGATGACTCCAGAACTTCATAACGAACCCAGTACGAATTAGAAGAGCCATACACGAAGCAACGCAGATCCATCATGAAAGCATAATCTGAGTCACACAGGAGGTAAGCCGCCAAGGCCTCCCACACCTCGGAAGATGAGACACGGGGAAGCCAGAAACCTCTGGAAAGATGGAACCAAACCCGGGGAGGGGTGGACACCAAATCCAACTCATACGCAGAAGGAGCGAAAGAGAACCCCTCTCCTTGTAACACCAAGCCCCACTCGGCGGGCAGAAAAACTCAGGCGGAAAAATGGGGCAAGCCAACCCCTCCCCAACCCCGGGAACCTCACCCTGAGGACCCGGGGCTGAGCTGGCCTCCAAACCCCCAACCTCCAAAGAAAACAAAGAAAAGGCAGGAGCTGCCGAAAAATCAATAACGAAGGGGGGGCCCACTGGCCAGACCCAAAAGCTCCGGCAGAAGGACGAGGCTGGAATGCCTCTGCCGCAACCCCAGAAGGGGACACCCCCGAGTCTCAACACCAACTAGACCCCCCCGCCCTGACTCATAACCAACCGAGCGCGTTGCAGCAACCTAAATCTAGCATGCAACGCCTTAGCTACCTGCACCTGCATATCATCATCAGGAGCTTGGGTGAACTGGAGTACGAACAGACAGCACACGTTGCACGACTCCGGGTCAAAACAATCACCGACCCAACAGGCAACATGGCGGAGGCAAAACCGGTGAGTGTCACCCCTGAGACAAGGAGACATAGCAACCTTCAAACTCGCAAAATGCGAGAGGGGACTCAGGGGTCACAGCCATCAGGCCACGTAGCCCCCGCGGGGTTTCCCAGGGCCCTTAGCCTTGGTGACATGCTAAGGGAAGCCCAGGCAGGGTACTGCAAACCGGCGCCTCAGTCTACCAACAAAACTCCTAAAGCTGAACCCCCGGGACGGGTCCACTCACAGGGGGCCAAGCGGGGAGGACCACCCACACAAAGGGAGAGATAAAGACACCCCAAGAACAGCGATGGGAGACAACGGCAGACCCCCCCCCCTCCCGTCCCCCGCCAAGAAGAAAAACAAAAACAAAAGAAAAACCCTGTAAGAGGACATCGTACACAAGCGGAACAGAGCCGGCCTCTGTTAATGGTGAAACCTAGCTGTGCAGTACCCTGCACCCCACCAGTGACGAAAACTACCCTCTACCCAGAGACAAACAAGGGTAAGAAAAAACCCCAGCTGACCCCAAGGGCGGCCAAATACCGAGCAGTAAATGGCACAGCGGAGGTATATCCCAAGGTGACTTGTGGAAGGTAGCCCCAAGCCCCAAGGACAGTACTTACAGGGCATCTAGGGAAGGAGAACCCTAGGCACATGCAGCCTGAGTACCGTGGAATATCACTCCCAGCTCACACACCACCTGAAGGGACAGCCCACACCACAAGGCACAGAGCTGCAACGAAAAACTGGAGCCAGAGGCATGACCGCACCAGACTTCCATCAGCCAAGAACTGTGGGTTGGGTCACCGACGGATGGGTCTGGGACTCCCCCTTCCCCCTCCTGGGGAGGGGGGTTGGGGTTGCGCAGACAGCGGTGCGGCAACATGATGACGTCATGCTAGTTTGCTAATTTTTGTTTGGGGAGTTCTGTTCAGCTTTTGGTCGCAATACTTTTACCATAATTGGAGTTTATTTTGAGGCGCCTACCTTTCTGGGTGCCTGTCCCGGTCGATGGCAGACAGAGAATGCTCCCAACCAGAGGGGGGGTTTCTATATGCCATTGCTCCTCGTGCCTCTTTAGAGGGGGGCCAGGTTTTGGCTCGTGGTCCCTGGCAAGCAGAACTCCATGCACTGACTGATGCCAGACAGATATACATATCCATCCAACCTGGATAGGTCCGGGAACCGATAGGGCCCCCCCCCCAGAAAAAAATTCTTACTTGTATTATACTGTGATTAGAACTTGATAGTTTCAAACTAATATCCAAAGGCATTCTCCACATATCTCGCAGACATTGCAATTTTTTAAACTGATTTTGACAGAATCATAAGGTGTCCCTATCTGGGAAACCATAATGAACCAAATTATAGTAGTTGTGAAGAATGTGGCAAAGAATGTGGTACAGAAAGGTTTAGGCCGAGCGATTCTCAGCTAGAACATATAATCGGAGGAAACCTTAAGTGCCTGGTGAAAATCATCTCTTGGCTCTTACCTTAATATGCAAGCCAGTTTTCAAAAGATTATCTCGGAGATTATCACAGGCTTTCAAAAGAGGTACACGCTCTTTCCTCTTGGTTTTCTGTTCCTCAGGTGCCAATACTTGCTGTCGGAGGAAACTGGAATGAACTTGAATGATTTTACAAATACTGTAGAACAAAATGCTAGTGCTAGGAGTTTAGAAATAAAATATGTTTTGGGTTTCAAAAACTCTTCCCTTACCTGCATTGACTCCTCATCCTGCAAAAGTGCAAAACTTCTCACTTGTTGTCGTAACTCCACCACTGAATTCATTACCTGAGACAAACGACCACCAGACTCTAACGACAAATTAGACGCATCGCTCTGTTGGAAAGTCATAAAGTGTCATTATGCTTAAATGACATCTACCTATATTTCAGGAATATAAAGTATTTCAAATTAAATATTGTATTTCCTATTCTTATATGCACCAGAACTATTATAGTACTGCTCAATGTTATCTGCCATTTAAAAACTACAATCACAAGTCTAATACATCCAGTATTTTCGAAATACAATACACCACTTACGACACTGGGGAAACGTATTCCAAACACATCCTCCATTAGAAAGTGGATGTAACTGCAGATAGCCACCATCGTCCCAGCACTTCTTGACAAGCTGACACTCTTGACGGCAAGGGGTAATTAAAGGACAAAACAATTATTATTAAAATGTGTTCAGAATTCCTTTAATAAGAAATCTTAATGTTTTATTTATTGAAGCTAAATTCTGAACTTTATTACAACATATTACTAGTACTATAACTGTATTTTTAAATCTCAATAAATAAAAGTTTAATTAATTAAATGATTCATTTGCATAAAATGACAAAATTGGTGACTTTTTTTAAGCAGAAAGAAAACCAGTCATAAAATTGCTTAATTAACTACACTTGCAGGAATCCATTTTGGAATTAGTTTTATGCTTATACTGTACTGTATTTTAAACTCACTATACACTATAACTTAGCTTTACAGGAAAACCTTTGGAGCAGGATGGGGGTTGCAGCAGCGTCTTGGGAAACTCTACATGCTGGTGGAATCCCCACTCTGCTCCAAGGATTGTCTCAGAGATATTCAGTACTGTATTACTTTATTGTGATATCATTGTGTTTGTAAACCTTTAGGATTATCATCATAGTTTTATATAACTACAGTAAGAACTTTTTGGGGTCAAATATTAAATTTTAATTAAATGCTTGACATTCTAAATTAAATCTATTTAAACTTTTTGAGACCTCTATATATTTAAAAATCATGACAAGGTTAATACCTGGGGCTTTTTCTGTAGTTCTTTATTGCCAAGGTTTATTAGATCCAGTACAGCATACAAGGCTCTCACTGTATCAAAATCATCAGCCAGTAATTTTTTCACCTTCATTCTTGTTTCAACCAGTTTCTGAAATGTAAAAAAAAAAATTGAATATTAAAATGGTAATACATATATACCTTTTTTAATTGTGTAAATACTGAAGAAAATTTAAAATGAAATAACTAAAATTTGATAAATATATACTGGTATCATATGTAAGAAATTGACCTCGCTTATAGTATTACAAAACTTCTGTTCAACCCTTAACATGCTCGGGGTTTAATATCCTGTCATCCCCACAGGCGCATGTCATTTTGAAAAAAAAAATAATTATTTTTTCTTCCTAACCTGTTAATTTGTGTTCACTGATCACGGGAAAAATAATAAAAAATCGTAAGTGGCATATATTGCCCGCTATAGGGCGGGGAAGTCTGGCAAATTATAGGCGCTGACTCAGCATGCGTCCCAGGCGGTCTGTTGCTCGCCAGCTGTCAGGACGGAGTTGCCACAAAGAGATAATTACCTATTTATTTCAATGTTTCTGATTGATTTTTCATAGTTTTTTTGCTGTAATATTATTCAATAGTGTGTAGTTTGATATATTTATATAAAAAATGAGTCAATCATTGCTGTACTAAAAAATATGGTGTGCATATTGTTGATTCAATTATGTTCATCAATCAGTGAACAAATACTTTTTCGGTTATTACACTATAAGCACAGGTTATATATAAGTATCTGCATGTTTTGTTCACTATAACGAACCACTAAGTAGCTATTGTGAGTCAAAAAGTAACGAGGAGTGACCACCGTTTACCAGCCAGCCACTCCCGCCCTCCCTCCAGTCATCTGACTCACCCACATTCTCCTCCCACAATAATGTTTTTGCTATAATTCACTATATACAGACGTTATATATAAGTATCTACATGTTTTGTTCACCATAACTGTACATCTAAGCTTGTATGGTGAGTAAAGGCACAAAGACGTAAGACCTCACACAGTCAGCTGATGGCTGCTGCCCTGTATCAAAATCATCAAGGCCCTCATCTGGCCCTCAAGGCCAGACGCACTAATATTTCTCCTCCAACAATACTGTGTGGTGTTATTACGCTATATACACACACATTATACATAAATATCTACCTGTTTTATTCACCATACTTGTGCAAATAAACTGGTATGGTGCCCAAAGACCATCATGGTAACCAGTAAACAACACCGTTGTCTGCACGGTGGCGTCGTGCAGACGACGCCACCGCCCTCACCAAAATGGCGGCTCCAAACCTTCTCTTGCTGTTTATACCCTCTATACACACGTTATATATAAGTATCTACATTTGTGTTCACCATAGCGAACCACTAAGCTGGTATGCTGAGTGCAGTCAATAAAAGGTGGCCACACACGGGTCCGTCGAATTACCACAAGCTACACAAGCTTCACAAAGCTTCAGAAAGCTTCCTGGCAATACGTTAGTAATGAATAAATATGATATGTTAGGTTAGGCTGGGCTGACCTAACCTAAACTAACCTAACCTAACCTAACCTAACCTAATCTAACCGACGCTTGGATCGTCGACTTTATTTGGCGTCACCAGCTCTTTATTTTCGTCAAATTTCTTAATAAAAATATACTTTTTCAGATTAAAATTATGTTTTCTCGTGTTGTACATTCAGCACCAACATTATAATGAGTAAATATATCATATTTATTCATTACTAATATAAGCTTTGTGAAGCTTTGTGAAGCTTGTGTAGCTTGTGGTAATTAGATGGACCGGCCACACACAGTCAGAAGACATCGCCACCCTCCTCCCTCCCACAGCATTACTCCTCCCTCCATGGCGTACAGCGCTAAATATCACCACAATCCTGCTATTATCAGAACCCTGGTCAGTTTTATCACAGTCAGGGGTCTTCTGAAATAATATCATCGCTACATAATAGCATGAACAAGTATATTTTGGCATTTTTAGGCGATGCTGTGGTCACAAGCTGAACAACAGTGCTGTTAGCTCATGCTGCGTGCATCAGGCTTGGTTGCTCACTCAATACTGAGGCCAATAACACCCGGGAGTTTGGCCCACGATTTTTGTTAAAAATGGCGTCTATTTACAAGAGCCCTGATGAAGGTGTGGTGAACCCCGTGTATCCGCGGGCCATTTAAATCTTGCGTAGTACTCCAACACATCATATGACGTGATGCGCAGTTGACTGGAACAACGTCCAACACATCATATGACGTGATGCGCACTTTAAGGGTTAAAGTGTGGTTAGCATCGTACATTAATTCACAGCGTAATGCAATTATCATAACTTGATTTTAATTATTATCTTCTGGTTTTTATAATATTGTCTGGAACAATAAAGTGTAAAAGTGTCATTACAAGAACCCCTACCTCAAAAATGTAAAGTGTCATTCCATATTGTTTGCTTCCTGAATTTATGACATCCTCCAATCCCAAATTTAACAAACCTTTTTATATTCTTGATATTGCAATTGCCCAACCTCCATCCTAATGATAGTGATGGTTCTGCCACCCGACATCACCACCCTAATCCAACCCATGGACCAGAGTGCCACAGCAGTCTTCAAAGCGACAGTCTACAGAAAAGCCACTCATTTGTAACTAATGGAAAAGTTACATCAATTGGCATTATATTAGGAATGTCAAGAGAGCACAGGACAAAGTTCAGAGCAACTCCATGAACGACGTTCGGAGGTAACTTTGGAAGGTGTATGCACAATTTCACAGGATTTGTGAACTCAAGACAACGAAGTGACCAATACTAAGATTTGAAAAAAGGGTTGAATGGGAAAGGTTTAGTGATGGGCAAGTCCCCTTGGGAAGAAAATTGAACATGGAAAATTTAGTGAACCTAACACAAGAAAATCAGAGGAAGCAGGGGTAAACAACAACAGTGTAAATAATCCAGAAAACATTTACTCAGTTCTACAGCAAAATTATCCAGGCAATCCTGAAAAATAATTATTGGAATGTAGCTTATCAAGACAATTTTGCATGGATCTCGTGACTATACAAAGAAAAAAAAAACCAGGGTTTAATGTAATGAAACGCCATTTTCTGGGTAAGACCCGGAGGCTCCTTGGAGCTTATCCAGGCTGATATGCTAATGTCAGACTATGGCATTAGGCATGTGGATGGAGTTCTGTGGGCCTACCTGGGACCACAAGCCAGAACCTGGCCCCCTCAGAGAGGCATGGGGAGCAATGGCCTATAGAAACCCCCGTGTGGTTGGAAGCATTCTATGCCTGCCATTGACCGGGTCAGGCACCCAGAAAGATAAGCGTCCGAAAACAAACCTCTATTCTGGTGGAAATTGCTACCAAAAGACGAACAAGTGGATAGAACTCCCTAAAAAGAAACAAGCCAACGAGCATGACGTCACACGTCACTACACCGCTCTCTGCGCAGCTCCCCCTCTGAAGGGTTGATACCTGGTTGATACCTGGTTGATGGGGTTCTGGGAGTTCTTCTACTCCCCAAGCCCGGCCCGAGGCCAGGCTTGACTTGTGAGAGTTTGGTCCACTAGGCTGTTGCTTGGAGCGGCCCGCAGGCCCACATACCCACCACAGCCCGGTTGGTCCGGCACTCCTTGGAGGAATAAATCTAGTTTCCTCTTGAAGATGTCCACGGTTGTTCCAGCAATATTTCCTATGCTTGCTGGGAGGACGTTGAACAACCGCGGACCTCTGATGTTTATACAGTGTTCTCTGATTGTGCCTATGGCACCTCTGCTCTTCACTGGTTCTATTCTGCATTTTCTTCCATATCGTTCATTCCAGTACGTTGTTATTTTACTGTGTAGATTTGGTACTTGGCCCTCCAGTATCTTCCAGGTGTATATTATTTGATATCTCTCTCGTCTTCTTTCTAGTGAGTACATTTGGAAGGCTTTGAGACGATCCAAATAATTTAGGTGCTATATTGCGTCTATGCGTGCCGTATATGTTCTCTGTATTCCCTCTATTTCAGCAATCTCTCCTGCTCTGATGGGGGAAGTGAGTACTGAGCAGTACTCAGGACGGGACAATACAAGTGACTTGAAGAGTACAACCATTGTGATGGGATCCCTGGATTTGAAAGTTCTCGTAATCCATCCTATCATTTTTCTGGCTGTCACAATATTTGCTTGATTATGCTCCTTAAACGTTAGGTCGTCAGACATTATTATTCCCAAATCCTTTACATGCTGTTTTCCTACTATGGGTACATTTGATTGTGTTTTGTACTCTGTATTATGTTTTAGATCCTCATTTTTACCGTACCTGAGTACCTGGAATTTATCACTGTTAAACATCATGTTATTTTCTGATGCCCAGTCGAAAACTTTATTAATATCAGCTTGAAGTTTTTCAGTGTCTTCAGCCGAGATAATTTTCATACTGATTTTTGTGTCATCTGCAAAGAATGATACGAAGCTGTGACTTGTATTTTTGTCTATACTGTATCTGATATGAGAATAAGGAAAAGCAGCGGTGCAAGGACTGTACCCTGAGGTACAGAGCTTTTAACTGCACTTGGACTAGATTTTATATGGTTGACCGTTACTCGCTGAGTCCTGTTTGACAGAAAGCTGAGTATCCAGCGTCCTACTTTACCGGTTATTCCCATTGACTTCATTTTGTGTGCTATCACGCCATGGTCACATTTATCGAAAGCCTTTGCGAAGTCCGTGTATATCACATCAGCATTCTGTTTTTCTTCTAATGCCTCAGTGACTTTGTCGTAGTGCTCAAGTAGCTGTGAGAGGCACGATCTTCCCGCTCGAAATCCATGTTGGCCTGGGTTGTAAAGGTCATTAGTCTCCATGAAATTGGTGACCTGACTCCTAATCACTCTCTCAAATACTTTTATGATGTGCGATGTTAGTGCAACTGGTCTATAATTCTTTGCCAATGATTTGCTCCCTCCCTTGTGTAGAGGGGATATGTCTGCTATTTTAAGTGCATCTGGTATCTCCCCCGTGTCCAAGCTCTTCCTCCACACTATACTGAGTGCCTGTGCTACCGGCACTTTGCATTTCTTTATAAATATTGAATTCCATGAGTCTGGACCTGGGG